TCATTGCTGTTATCCTCATGAATGATACTTCTCTGTGTAGTAAGCGAGTTGTTTGTTGCAGTAGCCATCCCAGTTGTAATATCTCTCACAGCAGTTACAACCTCCTCAGCATGAACATCCCCCCTGTCCTCCTCAATACCATGATTACCAGAATCATTGATCAAAGATTCTTGAGAAGCAAGACTTGTTAAATGCACTTGCTCTGAGATTTCTGAATCTGCCTGTATTTGTTCTTGAGTTTGATCTACAGGAAGTTCGGTTTGCACCAAGTGAGTCGCCTCAATTGGCCCAGAGATGTCAGTTTGTACAATAGCTTGGGCGAGTTCTGGATTAACTTCCGGTAAGCACCGAACAGCATGATGGGGATGAAGAACAGCTGTCATGACAACACCTTGAGGAGATATCTGCACCTAAAGACGAAGATACTACTGTCGAGGTCTATTCGCACTAAAAGGTGGGACAAGTTGCGGACTTAGCGTCTCAAGAAAAACGTTTACCACAGTGTTCTCAATTTATTTTTAAAAATAAAAGTCTAAAGTAAAGCTCACATAATGACGTAAAATATTCCTTGATAACGATAAACGTTGCGTAATTGCGTAAAAATTATCTTTTTTTGTCGGTGAGTTTAGTTGTTATATTTCTCCGCAAGAAGAGCGAAGTTTTGTAACCGAAAGTTGATCTTACCTGCTCCCCTTGTACCGTTCCATTGTCTACTAACGCAGGCTGTTGTATTATGTAAGTCTGTCCAGCTATAGAGGTAGATTGGATGATATACGATGGCTGTAGCTGGTTTGGCTGGGAGTTTCCTTCAGTTGTTGGTACACTATTGAGCTGTAACACTTCAAATCGTCCCTGGTTGGTAAAGCCGTGAGAGCTGTCGTCTCCCTTCGAAACGATTGAGCCATCACTACTTACTATTAACGGAAAAACAGAGGGAAATATTGTAATAAAAATGAATTTTTTGGAGGTGGTATAATCAACAAGACACATAATTAGCAAAAGATGGGCACACGGTACGTAAATTTTATAGCACACTCTATTTAACGATCACTCTCCATTAAGCGGTCAGCCATATCTCGCAAAACCGGATTCTCGTATATATTTACAGTAGATGTCACATTTATTAAACCATGAACCTCCATTACGCGGTCACCTGATCTTTCCCAAAGTCGACCGCTTAATAGAGGTTCGACTGTATTAACTTTAAACGGGACCTCTGTTAAAACGGTCAACCTCCATTACGCGGTTACCCGATCTTCCCCAAGGGTTACCGCTTAATAGAAGTTTGACAGTAGTCCAATGAGTTGTACCTGTTATAGTATGGGTTATATTTGATTGAGCTGGTCGRTGGATATTTCTTAATACCGATCCATACGAACAGTGTGACAGACGATTATTCTTGTATCTCGATTCTTGTCTTTCGATTTTCGTTTGTAATGTATCGACGTAATTCACATGTAGATACTCTACCATTTCTGAAAATGGAAAGATCACCTTTAAAGATCCAAAACCTTTGCGATAGCTTACTTTGTATTAAAGAGACATGGTCCACGTGTTTTAGATTYTTCAGGTGATGTCAAGTATTATAGATTTTCGAGGTGACTTGGAATATCCATTTGCAATCCGTTTTCTTCCATCAGTTTAAWAGCCGACTCTTACAATATCTCCGTTCACATAATATAAAGGGATAATAAAGAGTAAGTTTTTGATTGTATTAATTACGATGAATTTTTATTTTCAAACATGAGCAAAAGCTTGAAAGGGATGCTGGTGGACCATGTCCCTTAAAAAGAGAATGTTGTTGAAGGTCCTTTCTGATTTGTTGAAAATCAAAGATGGCGAGTTTTTGTACGTGAAAWAAGTGCGTAGAGATTCTCGGATGAACGTGGACTTTTACATGTATGATATCCATATTTAGGGCTAAAATGTAGCTGTACGAAAGGTTAATCGCGATATCCACCAGAAAAATCCTTATCCAGCGAATAAAAACCACAAAGTCTATGGAGTTGGTAACTTTAACTGGACTACACCATCACGCGATTACAGTCGAAACTTTGTGTCCTACTGTGCTTACCTCGAAATGTTTGACTATTGGATGGTATATGTTTCTTTAGAGCCCACCATTTACTWCGAAGCCACTGAGGTGATCGGACACTGATGAACACGAAAACATATGTAATTTAGTAATAAGCTTGATTACTCTGAATTCCAATCGTTAAAGTTACGTCATTAAACCAGTGAAACCGTATTGCAGTTTTTACCTTTGTACGCTCTAATTACAGTTTTCTTTTGTGTGTATCTGACTATCAMACTTAAGTCAAATTTTGTTTCACGGGTTTAATAACCTCACTCTACATGACACTAAAGCCTACTATGAAGTTCACGCGATGATAAAAGTATGGTAAGCGGTTAAAAGGAAAATTGCAATTCTTCTTTGTTTGCCCTATTCGACCTTATGCTTATTTCTATGCCAGGGTGGTGACATAGTATATGGTACCAGGATCAGGATTTTCAGTAGCTTTGAGATCGGATCACAGCAGTGAGGATCAGGGATCAACTTTGTAAAAAAATATAGCCGTTGGTTTTCCGAATGGCAGCCGTGCCCTACTGTCATTTTTAAAAGTCGTCAACAGACCTAGGCCACACTCGCTCGGTTAAACACGAAACAATGCTTTCAGTTAGAGCCTGGGTTTTCCACAAAAGATAGAACTCCAGCATCAACTTTCGTGCTCATCCAAACGAGCGTGGGATAGGTCTATTTGAAGAAAAGTTTGTGCATGCGATTACGCACACGCACGTCTCGTTATCACTCCGATTGTGTTTGCGCTTGCGTCAGACTTAGGGAATGCCAACTGGGAAAGTTGGTTAATTTGCATAATATATTATAAATATTATGTAAATATACTGTTAATATATTGTCCATTTACAAAGTTTGTAACTTTTATGTACATTCTTTGAATTTCATGTAAATTTTGCTCTATCAAACATTGTAAATATCTTGTAAAATCAATTTACAAAGTTTTAAAAAGGATAATTTGTTTGTAAATTGAATAATTTACAGTAAATTTACAGACTCTGTAAATTGATCAACTTTTCCAGTTGCTTATCATACAATGGCGTCTAGAGACCTTGTCCAGTTTGTCATTAATCCTTTCCAGTCTATCATATTCTCGTCTTCTACGTCCATCTCGTAAATTTTGTTGATCAGTTTAATCTCGTCTTGCTTTGTCCATTCGTTACCACCTTTCTCTTTCCAATTTAAATAATTTAGCCTGAAAGACACAATATTTATTTATTATTTTTCCTATATGTTATTGTTCTTGGCTGTTTTTTTAGTTACCATTTCGATCTACATTGTTTTTCAGATCGTGTTTGGACTTTTTCAGCAACACTGGACCACGATATTCCAGTTGTCACAACCTCGCCAGTTTGCGTACCACTTAATTCATGGACAGCATTTGATAATCGTTCTTCTTCCTCAGCGGTCCATTTACCTTAACAAACGTAAAAAGGACTCAATAAACACCTTCAACGTGTAGTGGTGGGAACTAGCGGTAAACTAGTGTGAGCTGCGTCAGTGTTTCTAAAGAAACAGTTGTGTAAAAAGATATATTTAACACCGTAAAAAAAGTATGAAATAACTTACTGACGTTTCGGACGTTAATCCTTCGTCGGAGTAAAGACGAAGGATTAACGTCCGAAACGTCAGTAAGTTATTTCACATACTTTTTTTACGGTGTTAAATCTATCTTTTTGCAAACTGTACCATCRAMGTGTAGGCATACATGCGTCAATACATGAATTTTGGAGAACAATGCGTCCGCATTTTGAAAAATGGGACTCGAATCACTAAATTAAAACTCCTAAAGGAATTTTAACCTTTTTAACCTTTTCTCACGGGTTTTGATAAAACTCTTACCCGACTGACAGTTCTCTCTCAGTAATCGGTACCTGTCCTTCACAGACGAGGCACTGCGACCCATTGCAATTCCAATAGTAGCCCAATCGTTGCCATGTTTCTCCTTGAGCGCCTTCAGTTGTTTGACTTCTTCAGGGGTGTACTTGCCGATGTAATTCCGTCTGTCGTACATCCGCAGGACTCGCCGATAAATCGCAAACAACGGCCGCTTGATACCCTTTGCTAATCGATAGAGTGGTGACAATTAACCCGTGTCATAAAAGTGTCGAGAGGAATGTTGGGATATTTTTTTGACAATGTAATAGTATTAATTTGCAGCCCAACTATGACAACCAGAGAATTGAACTTCYYTGCCAGTTGCACGAGTCGATAGTCCCCTTCACAGCCTACTACAAAGGGGTGGGAACTAGCGGTACACTAGTATGAGCTGCGTCGCTGTTTGTAAAGAAACAGTTGTGTAAAAGATAAATTCTAACACCTTAAAAAGTTGGTGTAGTAGTTAGTTGTTTTATCTACTTTTTTATATTGTTAAAGTTTATCTTTTTGAACTACTACAAATAGAATGAGAGGGACAGGAAGCCCGACAAAAGGGCCGCCTGCGAAGGAGACTATACTACAAAAGGGTAGGCTGCGTAGGAGGCTACACAATTCGAACGTGAATKATACTTTCTGGCCGCCATACTGTTAGCACCTAGACCACCTTAAAGCTACATCTCAACAATAGCTAATGATTATTTGCTCATACCTATCGTTCGATAAAAATCTTTTCGATCGTCCTTCGACATGTCGAAGATAATCGTATTTGGATCGGTGATGTTATTAACCTACAAGAAAACGAAAAAGTGATTTCTATTGCATTTTCCCCCACCCTCTCCACCCTCCCCCCTCCAACTTCCATTGTTATTTAAGAAATAAAATTCCGTGTTTGATACTCTGATCAAAACACGCGGGATRTAGGGAGAGCACGAGAGAAGCGTAGGAAACCACGACGCGTAGCGGAGTGGTTTCCAGCTTTTCGAGTGCTTTCCCTACATCCCAAGTGTTTTGATCAGAGTATCAAACACGGAATTTCGTCTTTTATTTCTTTTCTAAAATTAAAAGAATACGAAAATTGTAAAGAATTCTGAAATACGATATGTGGCTCTCGTCTATCTCTGCAAATCTCGAAGTAGCTTCTGCAGCTTCTGTAGCTTCTAAAACGTTTGATAGCTCTTCTACTGGGATATCATCCCAGAGGACATCATAAATAGGCATTTCTTCTTTCATTGTTCTTGAAAATGAATGATAACAAYAACAAATGCAAACGGCGGGAAAAAAGAATTTTTTGACGCGCGCGAGCGTGTTTTGATACTGTAATCAAACATGCTTTTCGACCAATCACAGCGCGCRTAGTATCCTAAATATTTTAGAAATGGTATTAAAGTATGTATAGTCTTACCGAATTGATTTTCAAAAACCCATGAAACAAATTGGAAAATCTGACTGCGATAAAACACAATATTGAAGTGTAACGTTACAAACTATACTTATTTCGAATTGATCGGATTCGTTGAAATATCCGGGAAAAGTAGCTGTCTACTAAATTATAGTAGTTGTAGTGCTTGTACTTAAAAAAAACAAAAACTGCTAAGATTGACTTTTGCAGCGGAAGTATAAAAGTATGAGAAACGAAAGTACGATGCTTTGCTGCACAAAAATGGCGTCGCTGCACATTGCCTATTAGCGATTTACCATTAAGCTCACGTGACTTACTTTGCAATACTCCTGAATGTTTTCTTTTAAAATATCGTTTTCTTCTTTAGACCACATCCCTTGTCTCCATTTTACTCCTGGAAATATGATATCTTGTTACAATACAAATGCTAATGGCGACGTGGACGAAGTAACGAGAGAGTTGAGGTCTAGAGTGATAAATCTTATGCTAGGACACGAGCAAACTCTCTAAGAGCATCAGCTTCAAAATAAATAAACTTCTGTACCCCTACATGTTTTGTTATTTCACTTAAAAGTACACAACATGTAAGTAATAACGCGTCATTATTTCAGATATTTATGTAATATACAGCTCTGAAGATATCATATTCTTACACTTACCAAGTGTTACATGTAAATAATGCGAAAAAAAGAATTAATGTATATTGCTAAACTAATCGTTGGGATGTTCCACAAATCACTAAAGTGTTATCTTTGTTGTACATGTAAAATTATTACAATCAATATTGTTTGGGAAACACTGATTTATCGTTGTCCTAGCTAGAGGTTTTCTTTTCTTTTAAAGCTCAAAARCAAAGACAAWAATTCGATAAATACTAAAAAARCATCTATAAAAGAAAAGAAATCCCKTMTGAKACCAGGGTAACATTGATTACGTTACATGTACTTTAACAAAGTGCAATGTTCGGRTTTAAACAGCGTGACAGTATGTACGTTGTGTTATTYATCCAGCAAATACTTGCATAACTAACACAACACTGGTATGTTTTTTGCACATGTGGTACATGGGGGTGCTACACTTTTTTCAGTGTTGAACATGTATCAATGAAGACCGCAGACCGTTGGCAACGAAGGCTACACTGACGTCACTCTAACCAGTCGCATCAAGGGTTTTGTTTACATACTTTACAAAGTACATGTACATGAAGTCCGACTSAGTTGAAATATGCTTCTGTATCATTCGCTCCCCATCCTTCGYCGCAACTTAAGTTCCWTGGCAATAAAGCCTTATAGATTTGCAATACCTTCAGTGTTAATTCGAGGTCAAAGCACAATCAATAGATCAGAGATTACAGGACACGAAGTAAAGCAATTTGATGAAATTCCCGGTGGAAAATCTTTACCTTTTATCGGAACAACATTGGACTTACTGAAGGAAAGCCGAAAGAAASCATTTACGAAAGCAGTTCTTGACTTCCAATTTAGAGGTGTCCAAAGGTATGGTAAAATCCATAAGAACGTCATTCCAGGCTTTTCGACTCCAATCATTATTGTTGCTGAYCCAGACGAAGTGCACAAATTATATCAACAGGAACCGMAATACCCCAGGCGTTTTGACTTGGAAGTGTTAAACAGGTTTTTAGACGAAAGGAAGAAGACCAAGGGAGTTTTCTCGGCGAATGGACCCGAGTGGTACCGACACAGAAGCACAATAAGCAAGAAAGTTTTGAGGCCAAAAGAAGTAGCCGCTTATTCACCCATGCTGAACGATGTCGTGACTGATTTAATGATCAGATTTGAACAGATCAAAGAACAACCTGGCAGTGAGTTTGCTCACGAAGTCAAAACATTGAGGAGCGAGTTGTTCAAATGGTCATTTGAATCAATTTCTTATATTATCTTAGAAAGAAGAATGGGCTGTATGAGTGATGCAATCAGTGACGATTCAAGAGAACTTATYAAGGGCGTGCAAGGTTTTTTTGAAGGACTATTTCCTGTTAGTTTAATTCCTCCTTGGCTTCATAAATACTACAAAACAAAGCCATACAAGCTTTTTATAGATTCCTTGGAAAATATGTATAAATACGCAGAAAAGTTCATCGATAAGCGAATGATGGAATTACAGAAAGAAAATCCCACCAAMGCAAAAGATGCTCAAGACGAACACGTTGGATTTTTTCAGTTTTTAGTTGCAAGTGGTAAWCTTTCGAGAGAAGACATTGTTGGAAGCGTGATTGAYCTTTTATTTGCTGGAGTCGAGACAACCTCTAACTCAATGCTATGGGTATTTTACATGCTTGGAAAGAACCAGGACAAGCAAGAAATATTGCATMGAGAAATCGCCTCTGTCCTTAGTCCCGGTGAAATTCCAACAGTTGACGACATTAAYAACATGCCTTATTTAAAAGCCTGGATCAAGGAAACTCTTCGCCTTTATCCAATTATACCATCTAACGCTAGGATTCTGCAAGAAGACATGGAAATCGGAGGGTATCATATTCCACAGGGAACCCACATTGCTGTCCCTATTTTCTTTATGGGTAGAGATGAAGACACCTTTAGAGAGGCAACAAAGTTCATACCTGAGAGGTGGCTGAGAGATCCTAACATYAACACCTCTGGTTTACCACATGCCTTTGCGACACTACCTTTTGGGTTTGGAAAGCGGATGTGCGTAGGCMGACGCATTGCAGAACTTGAGATGTATCTGTTACTATCCAGAATTGTTCAGAAATATCAAGTCYTGTATCCTCATAGTGATGAGGTAGAACCTGARGCTAAAGGGACCTTGTGTCCTGACAGAGATGTCAGGGTAAAATTTATGAAAAGGGACATTGCATAGRCTGCARTGTTTCCTGACTGGTGTCATTTATATTGATGCATCACATACATTTAGTGTAGAATTTAAACTGTGCGACAACTTTATAACCTCATGCTTAATATATTCAGTAATGACAATAATAACAATTGGTGATAGCTAATCACCCTTCCTCACCGTCYGAGTGCTGAATAAGTGAGGGCAAAGCTGCGCTATCAACCGACACATATCTGATCACGGAGCGTAGCTAGGATAGAAATGCTCAGTTTTGCCAAGGGAGAAGAAAAAAAGAGAAAAAAAATCAAAGCAAGGGAGAGAGCTGAAGCAAACTGAAGCCACATGTGACCCCAATACAAGTCAGAATCAGACCCAGGGCTACAGTAGTGCCTGGCCGACGCTCCCACTGCTTAGCCACCCTTGCTTCCCTTTTTTCTACTCTGTATTTTAAAGGTCCAGTATAAATTAAAGTTAAATTTTTGTTACATGCTAGATATTATCTATTTGATAGTATCCATTTAATAATAATAATAATACTGTTTATTAAGGCCTCTGGCAGTAATGATAATACTGAATTACAGGCTTGGTAAATAAATGGAAAAGGACAAAACACTTACATTTTGAAATTTTACAGTTACAAAATTTTGGAATCTATTGGTTTGATAATTTATAGGCCTTAGCCATTTCAAGCAGCAATGTCAGGGTTAGAGTTACATTTTTTAAAGAYAAAAGATATTTTTCAATGATCAAATGTGAGCTTTGCACAAACAAAGTCCATTCACTCATCTACAAAGTTAAATTTTGCCCTCAATTCTCACTGATAATAATAACACAATGCTACTACCAAAGGCAGAAATATCTCACCTTTCCCTTGGAAGCTATCTTTGTCTTCCTTTGTAGTAAACCAGGCCTGATTCACACCATCATCACGAGTTTCCACTGTCGAATTCGGCAGTAAAGTTGGTTCATGGCTCATTTGTGGTGTCATAGATGCCAGGGCTGTGGGAATGTTTAGGTCAGCTTGACATGCTTGTGTAATAGATAGCACTTGTTCTTGTGTAATTTGTGTGTCTAAAGTGTTTTCAGTTTCCTCCTGAAAGAGAAAATAGATAAAGAGATTGAATAGCATGAAAAAAAATCTTGTGAAATAAATACAAAATAATAGGTGGATCTTTGTTTACAAAWTTTTGCTAAYTAGGATAAAGTTAAAATTAAAATRAATGTAAAAACAGTCAATGATGTAAAAAGGGCTTATTAGGAATTATAAACTATGAAAGTGTGAAGTTTATACAATATGCAATAGCTAAATGAGATATTAGTGCTTAAACATTGTGAGTTCCAAAAGCACTAGTTAGCTCTGTCATACAAGTATGATCTCTCCTTTTTACACTGTTCAGCAAAAATATTATTTCGTATGGGAAGCTCAAAATAAAATTGTGAGGAAAGCTTGTATTTTGATGATGCATGCTTCATTAAATGTGAGCCCATAAAAAACAGCACAGCACTATTTGCATAGCTTAGTGACCTGATCACACAAAATAATACATTTTATAATGTGTGATACAATGCATGTGCATGCAAGTATTTTTGAAAACTTTTTCCTGCAATCAAAACTTAAACAAAACGGATTTAAAAGGTTTTGTACTAATTTTCGCGTGCACTTAAAAAAAAATTGAAAAACAGGTGGACAGAGAGATTTAAAATACCTTTTTAACTGAATGATTACTTAAACAATAATCAAAGATTTGTATATAAAGTGAAATGATTATAGAAGTGCATTAAATTTCGCGTGTATAATTTTCGCGGATCCTATTTTTCACAAGGTTTTAATTTCGCGATTTGTTTTAAATCGCGAAAATCGCAAAATTAAAGCCTAGCGAAAATTAGTACGAATAAGTTAGGACATGGTCACAGCAAGCGTCTACAGCTTTTACCCTTTGATAATGAAAACAGGTCTTTTTCTACTCTATCATAAATGAAAACAKTATTTACCAAGGCTTCCACAGTGGTATAGCCATCAGATTGTTCAATGTGAGATACTTTATTTTCAGAGCCATCTATATGTAGGATGTCTTCATGCTTTCTCTTAAC